CGACGTTCCTTTTTCTCTCCTTGTTTCGTTTCTTTCCAAAGTTACCTCCCCCCTGATATGGTTCCGGGCCCTTAAAAACCAAACCGAACCCGCCTTCCTCCAACCTGCCTCTCCTTCTCTTTCGGAGCAGCCCCAAAAGTTGCGCGCCGCTTCGGAGCCAAGCCGATCGGAGCGCCGGCGGCGGCGGCCGAGACCGGTTTGGCAATGTCCCGAGGCTACAGAAAGAGAGGGGGAAGACCCCAAACCTAATCATCCTCAACCCAACGGCATTTCTAGCCCAATCTCTCATCTGGCGCTCCCGTCACTGAAACTGACCAGACAGGGTGCGGGGGGGTTTCCGATGGGTCCAAACCGCGAGAGAGGGAAGGGAGGTAGGAGTAGCTGCCCTCGGCGTAGTAGACCGAACCGACGGGAGCTGCAGAGTCCCTCGGCACTGTTTCCCCTGCCGAGAGAGCGAAAGAGAAAGAGAGTCGCGTGTCCCCGTTTTTCGCATAGGTGAGTTCGCTCGCCCGGGAAAGCTGGCCGGTTTTGGGGAGGCGGTTTACGGGCGAGGCGGGCAAAGCGAAAGAGGTGGGTCTGGGTCCCGATCCCTTGGAAAAGTCTCACCTCAAAGGGGGGGGGACCACAGTTGTCGGTCGTTTTAACCTAGTTTTCATCTTCTTTCCTCCTCCCTCTTGTTTGCCCCCCCCCCCCCGTCGCCCTTTCCTCTCCTTCTGCAGGTGATCCAAAGCAGGGAGCAGAATCCTACAGGGCGAGAGGAAGATCGGCGCTTGGGAGACTTTTTTCTTTTTGCTCTTGGTTTTTGCGGCTTCTTTCAGTCCCCCCCCTTTTTTTGAGCGGGGGAGACGCTTATTTAAGAAACACCTCCAGCACCTTCCCGTGTAAGCAGACACTTTTTGTACACAGCCGCCGCCGCCGCTGCTTCTATTTAAGGCTGACGAACTTGAGGCACAAGTCTTTGCATGCGCATCTATAAATATATATATATTTTAAAGTTTTAAGACTCCCCCCTCCTTTCTTCCGCCCCCCGCCCCATAAGTCGCCGCTGTTTATTTCCCCCCCTCTCCCTTAATTGTTTTGCACGGAGGGAAGGGTCCGTTGGCGAAAGAGAAGCCAGCCGGATCGAGACCCCGCCGCCTCGGACAGCGCGCGCCCCGGAAGGAGCATGGAAGTTACCACGGATCAACCGCGGTGGGTCAGCCACCACCACCCGGCCGTTCTCAACGGGCAGCACCCGGATTCCCATCATCCTGGACTGGGCCACTCCTACATGGACCCGACTCAGTATCCTCTGGCGGAGGAAGTGGATGTACTTTTTAACATCGACGGCCAAGGGAACCACGTCCCTCCCTATTACAGCAACTCGGTGCGGGCGACGGTGCAGAGGTATCCCCCGGCCCATCACGGTGAGTGACCCCCCCCAGGCAGAGAACCGGGGCAGTGGGGGGGGGATGGAGGGCGTGCGGGGGGGGACGTGCGGACGAGAGGTTCGAGGCAGGCTCTCTCTTTCTAGCCTTCCCTCCCCCCCCCTTCTTTCCAACTGCTGTTTTTGACAGACGGTGTTAAGCCCCGGAAATACAACCAGCGCGTTGGGTTTCTCTTTTGTGCAAGTGTGTGCGTGCGTGTGTGTGTGTGTGTGTGCGCACAGTATATTTTTCTTCCCCGCTTCTGCATGCTTGCTCTTTCTAAACTGCTGATTTAATGCAGCCAGGACGAGCCATTAGCATCTGACAAGAGAAAAACCATTTCTGGGGAAAGGCTTTGAATAATAATACCGGGGAGTCTCTATATAGCGAGCTTGCCTGGCGGATAATCCGTTTTACAACCCCCCCTTCCTTCCCAAGAAGCCAGCCCGAGCCCCAGAATAAGCGTCGGTGCAGTCCCACATCCTGTTGCAGGTTTTACTCTGGAAGGAAAGGCCTGGCCTTGCAAGAGACCGGTTTGCCAGCAAGCTAAAGCCGATATTGCACGGAGAAAAGCCGACCGGCGAGGAAGCCACGGGGGAGAGTTTGGCTGTGAAACCGTGGCACGAATTTCTCCGTTCAGAGGGAGTAACTTCCCCTGGAGCCGGAGTGGCACCGGTGCCTTTCCTCCGTGTAAACCGGTTCAAGGGCAGGGCATAGCACGCCGCAACCGTAGGAAATCCCACGGAGCTACGAGGCTTCTGAATAAAATGCAACTGACGGTGTAAATCTAAATGGAGTCCGGGACCTGGAGAGGTTTCCTCTCCTATAAGACGCAGAAACCCGCACAAAAAAACCCGAGATACGGTGAACTCAGTTTAACCAGGGTGGGGAAAGGACCATCTGAAAGAGAAGCAGGAAGTTATGAGGGCACGATCCACCAGAGGGGTGTAGTTTAAAAAATCCTCCTGAATTTTATTAGGGACTTGAAGGAAAAAAATCACAGTCCTCCCGTTCTGCTCTCCAGCCCTACTGAAAACGGGGAGAAGTGCTCGTTACTTTTGAGTAAACACAGCCACCACCCGCTCTTAAACCTTGGAGATCACTGGGGGCTTAAGAGTGCTTAAAAGTTTGAATGAATCTTGACTTTGTTTAATCCCTCCGTTTTATGGTGACACCCCAAGGTACGTTCTCGCCCGGGCTGAGATTAAAAATGTCCAATCCCCAGAGCACAATGCCACACTTTGGCTCCGTGAGATTTTCAGAGGTTTAAGGCTGGAACCGGTTGCCAAGCCTTGCCCTTCCCCAAAAATCCAGGCTGTTTGCTTCGGATTCTCCTCTTCTCCTCAGTCGGAGCCGAAGGTTTTTTTTTAAAACCCTGTCTGTCATTTCTAGTTTTTAATATTAAGAATAACACCAATGGAAATCACAATAGGCTCTTTTGACAGTGATTTTGAAACCACTCAATTAACGCTGGAGAGACAGAGGAAGCAGCGCAACAGACACGCACATATTGCAACTGTTCTAAAATATAACTTGGAAAAAAAAAAGAGGTGTAATGACTTAGCCTCCGGGCTGAGATGTTAGAATTAAATCTGTCAGGGAAAATAAGTGGTATGCTTGTCCTATTCGTATGTATGATTCCGTGCTGAATACTCCCAGTTAGCAAAACAAAGAGGCTTTGTTAGGGCTTAGCAAAGTTCGCAAGTATGGTTGCCAGCTTTAGGGGGACACAGGCTTCTTCGTCAACCCAGATAAATCATCAAGGTGTTATTTAGTGTGAAGTAGTTTTTATGTACCATCAGTGGGGGGAAAGGCAGAGGTTTTTTATGAGTGTCTCCATGCAAATAGGGCCTACTGGAACATACTTTTGAAAGGCCTGGGGTTGTAGATTGATCCTTTGCACATGTACCAAAATATGACAGGCCGAGTGCAAGGAATTTTTTCCCCAAGACTTAGCTCTTTGCTTACCAAGTTCCTTGAGGTGCTTGCGGAAGAAAAATGTTGAATCTTTCTGCCCTTTTAGTATTTGAGGTGAGCATTCTTTCTGAGGTGTCCTGTGTGAGCCAGAAGGTAGCGCCACTGGTTGGATTTTAAGGAGTTTACTATGCTGGATTGGATTCTGTAAGAAATAGAATTTGGTTCCCAGCAAAGCCAGGAAAAAAGACATCAGTGTAGAGAGGAAGGGATCCGTGGAGTTAAGGAGCTCTTGAGAAATCCGTATGGCGGGGGAGGGGGTGCACCCCAGCAAAGCCTTATTTTTTTAAAATAGCTGTGTGCCAACCCTTCTTTTGGAAGAGAGACTTCTGCTCTGGGGGAAAAAGACATCGGTGTAGAGAGGAAGGGACCCATGGAGTTAAGGAGCTCTTGAGAAATTCGTATGGCGGGGGAGGGGGGTGCACCCCAGCAAAGCCCTATTTTTTTTTTTGAATAGCTGTGTGCCAATCTTCTTTTGGAAGAGAGACTTCTGCTCTGGACTGTTTTCAAAATTGGGAAATAAGGTGTGTGTGTTTAGACATATCCCCAGCACGCAATAGACTGGTCGTGGGACAAGAAACTGACTCCTCAGCCTTCTGTAGTGGTTACAAAGGGTTGTGCAAACGATATTAATCCCTCATTAGTAATTTCCTTACCCTACTATTACTTTGATTACAACGCATGGCAAAACTATCGCTCCCCCTCTCTCCGCAGCAAATCGTCCCTTTGATCTCCCCTGAATGGGACGGACTCCAGTTTTAATTGCCCAACAAAAGAGTGTTTCCACACGGGGGAAATCATCAAGGTGGGATTAAACCACAGCAAAAAATAAAAAAATAATTTAAAAAAAGCCAATGGCTATGAATAAAAATCCATTTTTTTTAAAAAAAGACCCCCGCCTCCTTTGAAAATTCAGATAAACAAACAAACAAAGAAAATCCACACCGGAGGGAACACGTGATTTCCCTGTCATGTGTGAATGCGATCCATTTTGCCCTGGATTTGGACAGCTGGATCCACGGACCGGGCAAAGTTCTGAGAATTGGAGGCAGGCTGGTTTGTCTTTGATTTTATTTGGGGCTGGCTCAAGATCGGGGGGGTTCTATTTAGAGGGCAAAGGGTTTATTTAGAAAGCAGGGTGAAAATGAAGGCCAGCCTGCTATCAGTGGATCGATCAAATAGATCAGTCATTTTCTCGGCTCATTGGAACTCCCCGGATAAATCCCAATTGTCAAACGGGGGAAGAAAAGTTTGGGTGAGGGAGTGGGGGGCGGCGGAATGGAGCGGGGCTTTCCTCCTGAAACGGGTGGATCGCCCAAGCCCTCGGTGAATGACGGCCCCAGTTTGCGAGCCAATTAAAATATAATCTAAGCCTAGTTAGTCCTTAAACTAACACGCATTTCAGGAGAAGACTGAATGCCCAGTTTGTGCCACCCAAACGGCCAGAGCGCACCTACTTGATTTCAGTGTCTTTCTAAATGCTTAGGATCGGGTGGTCTAGTTGGAAAAGTTTTTAAACAGAAAAAAAGAAAATAAAATAAAAGGATGTGGGTCATTCATCTGAATTAGATTCAGAAAAAAAGGGGGGGGGGAATAAAAGTGTATGTGAGTGTATGGAATCAGAGTCTTCTCATGCTCACAGCCCAACGCTCCTGAGTTTGGACAGGGCTTACTTCTGAGTAAATTTAGACAGGACAACAGGCTCAGTGGTACGGTTTGAAAGCGGTACAAATAGACGCGGGACAGTTGTCGCGGCTTCCTTGCGACGCAAATAAGGCTTTGGAGCACTGCATTATTTATTTGTTTGTCGAGGTTGGGGGGCGTTGTGAAGAAAGAGGAAAACACACACACACACAAACACACAACATGCAGGAAGACCAGTTCCTGCCCGTTTTGCTTGGCTCTGTCTTTCTCACCTCAAACCCAAGCCTGCTAATTTGACATTGAACGATCTCAAGCCCTCAGATGTAAGCGTGATTAATCCTAATTAATTGGCAGCCCCCACACTCCCCCAGGCGCGCATCGCTAGAGCTAAAGGGGGATCTATTGGTTCCGATCGGAAAGTTTCAAAGTTAGGTTTACTTGGGAGCAAACCCCACAGAAGGGAAGGAAACTAGGCATGGCATTTAGGGTGCGCGGGTGTCTGGGCTTTGAGTCGCCTTGAATTCCCCCGGGCTTACTTCCGAGGAAGCAGATCTATTACCCCCTCACTGTCTTCCTCTGCATCTGTACTTCCTTGGAAGTAAAGTTGCAGAGAGAGAGAGGCAGGCGAACACTGAAAAGAGAACCCCCCCCCCTTTAAAAACTTCCTGAGTAGGACACCGCAGTCAGGTTCGTGTTTACTCAGGCGTAGACCCAACTACGCTCACGGGGGTGACACGAGAAAGCTCTCGGAGGACCGTCGCTTGCTCTCTGCTAGCGCAGGGAGGCGAGGCGATCCTCAAGTGCGTTTGCTCGGAGGTAAGGCCCACCGGGACCGATGGAATGGGATCCCGAGTCAGCCGGCATAGGCAGCCCGGCTGGCGTGGCGATCTTGTGGCCATTGACTTGGGAGTAAGGCCACGGCGATCCAGCGAAGGGGATCTTCTTAGGATCAAATTGTTCAGCGTCTAGCCGGCGGCTGACGGAGATCAAACCTCTCAGCGGGTGGGGACTCCGCAGGTTTAAATGTCTCTTCCCTGAAAATCCCATTAAATCTCAATATCCTGGTGGATCGGGGCGCTTCTCCCCTTCGAAAACATCTCCGGTCAGTCTGGTTTCCTCGCAAAACTGGGGAGGCTTCGCTAGCTGGGTTTTTGTCAGTTTCACTCTGTCTCTTTGGTTAAGAGGAGGTCCCATGGGAGAAAAAAAGTCCTTTAAGAAGGATTTGACCCAGTTGGAGGAAAACGGAAAAAGGGAAAGAGAAAAATTCTGAAAGGAAAATGACCCGAAACCATCAGCTTGAACACAGCTTAGACCGAAATGGCATGGGTGTTACATGGGTGTTGAACACCGAAATGGGCCTGTAAACTCTTATTTTCACTCTAATTTCAAAGCAGTTTCATAGAAATCTCGGAGGAAGTTACTTGCTTCTAGGTGTAAAGGCTGTACAAAGCAGCACAATCTAGTTTCAGAGCTTGAGAAAGTATTTTATTTTGGACTACAATTCCCAGAATCCCCTGGCCATGCACTGATCCTTTTGCCCACTTTGGTAATACAGAGAAATAGATCAAGGGTTTTCATTCAAGCATTTGGTTCATACTATTAGCTGCTAAGCCATCATCTCGCTGTCGAACTCGGTAGGGTTGCCAACTGATCAGAAAGCTAAGCACACGGCTGCTCTTAACAAGCAGAAATAATCAGACTGACCTTTTTCACAGAACGGAGAGAGGCAAAGATCCCCCACCTATATTTTAACAGAACAGTCTGCTCTGGCAGGGTTGTGTGTTGTCTTTAGGATGTATATGTAGCTGGAAAAAAATTGGTTTACAGCCAAAAGGTATCTTATTAAGAATTCTTTATATAAACTAAATGATTTTTAAAATCCATGAAATTCTGAGTTATTTACTTTCAAGAATATGTGAGTGTGTTGGAAAAAGAAAGGGATGTTATGGATAAGGCTATTTTGAGAAGAATCAACTCCTAAAGAAGGTGCGATTTTAATCAAATCTGCCCCATTTGATCAGATATGTTTCTCTGCGCCATAGTTCAGGATGAGGAGTGTAAGGCTGTTTAAGCATGTTCACTCTAGAAGAAGTCTCACTCAACTGAATAGGAACATGTCAGTCCCCGTGCTTAGTAAAAGCACATTCATTTCAAATGCATTTTAAATTCCACTAAAATGGATGGAACTCCTCCTGCATTAAAATTTAAGCCAGGTTTAAATGGGTTTAAAACTACAGAGAAGCATGCATCTCAACTATTGTAGGACACATGTGTCGAATGTCAGTGTCTTCCAAAAAGGCATACTTCTAAAAAGTCAATTGAGGATCTGAAGGTTAGAAAATCTGTCTTTCACCCTGACCTGATTCTATGCATGCTTTCTTCAGAATAACATCCAACTTGTTCATTTGGGATGTAATTCTCCCCCAATCCTGAAAGTATGAACAGTTGGTGAATCTGTCAGGCTGAAGTGAGCTTGTTTTCTAGGTAAGACAATTTTCAAAAGTCAGTTCCCTTTCCAGATAGCACCTTGGACTGAAATCTAGTTCCCACATTACACATAGCTCTGTTGCGTGTACGGGCTTTAACGGAGGTCGATGGAGTGGGAATTGGCAGTTTGAAAAGCAACTGGGAAGAGAAACAAAACCTTAAACTGACACAGAAAAACCACAGTATGGTTACTTATTTATGATATATGTAAATTGCCCAGCATGGATGAACAGCAACAGCGGTAATGTCTTTTAGGGGTGAAGAACCTGAGTTTTCAGTATATTGGATGGCTTTTGGACTAGACTTGGCAATTGAGGGCTATTCACATATCATTTTCAAGTAACAGTTTGAACCGAGCAGTTGTACATCAGTGGCCCTCTTAATTAGGTGGTGAGCATCTCTTCTGTATTGGTGCAGGTTTATTCATTTTGAACGTCTGTCCCGAAACTAGGTAGCCTAAACTGGAAACAAACCAAACAAGGTCCACCAGATTGAGCTTTGACCTTGATAGCTAGTCCAGATTTGTGCTTCATCGCCAACATCTTACAACTGCAGAGCTAGAAGGGGACCCCTTGGGTCTTTGAGTCCAGCCAGATTCCTAAACCACTGAGATATCTAGCAGTTCAATAATAATATTTTAAAACTGCAGAGCTGGCAGGGACTCTATGGATCATCAAGTCCAGCTCCTTGACAGGAGGCCCAATGGGGAACTGAACTCCGAGCTTCTGGCTCTGCAGTTCGGTTACCTAAACCATTGGGCTGCTGGAGGCAACCCACATCACCCTTGTGCAAGTTCTCAGGGTGGGGTGGGAGCAGGACTTGGTTTGATGTCTGCATAGGCTGAAAGATGAAGGTGATTGTGGAGCGACCCCGGAGCTTGGTTCTTTTTAAAAAAAGGAAGCGCCCCAACCTTTTCCTGTGTTCAGCAGACGTCCCCTTCCCAGAACAGTCCTGGGCTGGTTAAGAGATGCTGCTCTTGGAGGAGTGACTTTCTGGAGACATGGAATTCAAAGCACCCTTACCCAAACTCTGAAAATATGCAGTCATTGATGTAAGATGGTGAACATATTTGCAGGCTTTTGCCAGCTAGGGCTGCCCATATTCCAAGACTCCATCTTCAGCTTCCTATACTTTTCTTGGCATAATAAGAGTTGCTGCTTCTATTATTGCCTCCTCCTCCTCCTCCTCCTCCTCCTTCTTCCTCTTCTTCTTCTTCCTCTTCTTCTTAACACATCTAGCCTGCCTTTCCATTAAACAAACAAACAAACCAGTGCTCAAGATGCTCACAAACATCATTCAAAGAAGTTGAAAAGAGATTAAAACAGATTGAAAGCAAATTAAAAAATCAATTGCGCTATAAGACCCTTAACATTACTGCAAAACAGAGAAAAAATTAATCATGTTGACCCTCCTCCTCCATAATCTAAACCTTTTTCAAGGTTAGTTTGAAGAAGTTTATCTTCCCAAAAACGTTGAGAGCAGGAAGCGATCCCATCTCTGACATTTGAGTTGAAGGTTGGTTCCTTGTACCGGAGGATGTTCCTGAGAGCCACCTGCTCTTTGCCACCTACCTGTAGCACAGGCATCATCCTAAAGGGAGGAAATTAAAGCTGAATGGATGCGAACAAATTAAAATAATGTTTTTGTCAGTGCATTATTTTGCTCCTTAGGAGGGGGGAGGCAAAAAGGACACAATCCAGACCAAGCAAAGTCACTTTTGGTTTCCATGGGATGGTTCAAAACACCCTTAATTATTGAAATCAGTAGGCCTTTAAAATAATTTACTGTGGTCAGATGACACACAAGAAGTTGGACTAGGGTTAAAACTTGCCATAAACTGCCATCGTTGAATGTTTCGAACACCTGAGAGGCTGGGTTGACACCCAACCATGGAAATGGCATTGTATTGGATGGCAACCTCTTGTTGAGGGCTTCAGGAACAGCAGCTTTTCCAAGTTGTGCAGGCCATTCATCTCTCTACTTGAGAAATTTCCAGGGAGAAGTTCTCTGCTGATAGCCTGTTGTCTCTTGAAGCAAAAACAACAACAGAATCAGGGGGCGCCTCTAAGACCAAATGTCTTCTGTTTGGCATCCGGCCTTTTGAGCCACATTCCATAGAAGCCAAGGTCATCAGACCTTGGCTGTTTTCCTTTCAGAGGATGGCCATTTGCCTGCCTCTTTCTCACTCTTGGGAAAACTCATATGGCCATCTGAGTCGCAGAAACCAGTGTTTCCAAATGCTGATGGTCTCTAAGGTCCCTATCTGAGAAGGTTGACCCATCTAGGTAGAAAAACCAACTGATGGGGATTTCTGTTGTCTTTTGCCCCAGCAGGTGGTCAGGTGTGTCGCCCGCCATTGCTCCACAGTTCTCTCCCTTGGCTGGATGGCAGCAAAGCCTTGGGAAGCCACCACCATGGAACGTCACCTTGGAACCTGAGTCCTTTTTCCAAGACGCCGATCCACCACAGCTCTCCTGGACCTCTGTCTGTCTACCCTCCAGCCTCCTCCTCCACTTTGTCAGCAGGCCACTCCAGCCCGCACCTCTTCAGCTTCCCACCAACCCCTCCCAAAGATGTCTCGCCGGATCCTTCCATCTCCACCCCGGGCTCCACCGGATCCAGCCGTCAAGAGGAGAAAGAGTGCATAAAGTATCAGGTGTCCTTGGCTGATACCATGAAGTTGGAGTCTTCTCACTCCCGGAGTGGTATGGCCTCATTAGGAGGGGCTTCCTCCTCTACACACCATCCCATAACCACCTACCCATCCTACGTTCCCGAATATGGCTCTGGACTTTTCCCCCCTAGCAGCCTGCTGGGGGGTTCGCCAACCGGCTTTGGGTGCAAATCTAGGCCGAAAGCACGTTCCAGCACAGGTAAGGGGTCCTGAATGGATTCTTAAAATTCTTTTGGAAGTGGGTGTGGGGGTGTTAGAACTTATGTCAAACCAATAAGCACAACTTGGAACCATGTTTCTTTTCTGGATGGTAGTACCTCAGAATCCTTCATAATGGGCTAGGGAGTCGTCAGATCCAGGCAGGGCACTTATCCAAGCTCTGCAAATGCTCAAAAGAACAAGGAAGTAGAAGGAATAACTTGAACAATCAGGGGGTGGATTGGTTTTGAGTGCAAATCCAGACCAAAAGCACCTTGGTAGAAACTGAGGTCCCAAATGAGTTGTTACCGAAAGGAAGCGAAAGCCACCCGAACACTCTGTTTCTGAAGCCCTGGGATCTATAGAAACACAAATTAGACTCAATGACACAAAAGTTGTCAAGCAACTCAACAGAGATCTCAGAAGATCTCTTAAGATGCAGAAACAGCTGCATTCCGCCGGGTTCACCTTTCATGTCCAAGACTTCTTTATTTCCCCTACCCAGATGTTCAGCATGAGAGGCGGTTCTTTATAATATTATGAGATGATGTGATTCTAGGCTACCTGCGAGGATCTCTCTTGGCTCTAAGGCTGTATCACTTATGTCAGAGAAACTCAACAGATTTTAATGATCAAAGGAATTCATTGTGTACCTTCTGATGCCAGTAGAAAAAGGAAATATCTAATCTATATATAGAAATCACGGTAGTGATAGTTCTAGTGTGAGGTTACTAATTTCACTTATGCATGGGGGCGTATTGCATTGTTTTGTCTAATGCACAAGGATTCTTCATTTTCTTTTAAGTACTGGTTGAGGAGACAAGGCCTCAGTCTTGGGAGATCTGGATTCAAATCTCCACTCAGCCATTGAAACTCTGGCCCTGTTCAACCAAATTATGCTGATTTTGTCGTGTCTCCCACCCCCACTTCTCCTTTATCTTTCTTTACTAAAGTGAAGGGTTTTGGGTTTTTTGGATACACGGAGCAGTTTATCACTGTTCTTTCCTTCGAACAAAAGGGCTGGTGTGTCCAGTGAATTTTTAGCTTTGTGGATTGCAGCAGAATTTCTGTAGTAACACGCTTCCTTAGAAATCTTGCTTAAACAGACTGAAATCTCAGTTTTGAGGGAAGACAATGAGTTGAAGAAAGAATTTATAAATGGATCCTTTTATTTTGGATAGTCTTATCTGGTGGGGGGTGGGTGGGGAGTAAGTCTTGTGGATGTCTACCAACGTTGCTTTGAGAAATGCTGTCTTCAAAGTGATAGGGTGACCATCTCAAGTACTTCCTACTTGCTTGTAAGTGTAATTTCAGATATCTTACTCCCAAGTGGGACATGGCTTTCAGCGAAGATCCAAAGCATGGGGTACGTGAAAGTACATGAAAATAATCAGATCTATGTCTGAACAAAGATGCTGGGGAGAGGATCAGGATTTCCCCTTTTTAATAAACATGAGCGCCAAACCTTCCTCTCTCCCTCCCTCCCCCTGGCTCCAGAAAGTTTTGATTGAAAAAGGTGGTACTCATTAAATATATTTCCTCTATCCTATAGGTCATTCCTTCTCCTTTCCTATTGTCTTTGGCCCCCTGGGAAAACTGGAGCAGAGTTTTGAATCAGATTTAAATTTAAACATCAGCTCCAGGCCTCAAATGCCCCCCACATTCAACAAACAAAGAAGCAAGGCAGGCTTGAAATGTAGAGGTTAGGGGAGAGCTATCAAGGCCCACATAGACTGATCTTGCCACGTCCTGATGGATGTTTAAGGATGCTGGTACCGATTTATTACAGAGAATTTAACTCCCTGTAGAACACCATATACCCCTATTGTATTCCTTCACATGGCAGTGGATGCTTATCATATTAATATATTCAGTGAAAGAGATATGAGAATTTCCATCTCCACCTAAGTATGTAGATGTATGTTATATATGATCAGAGTAGACATGTTCTAGATGGGTGGTATATAAGTCTAAATGAATGAATGAATGAATGAATGAATAAATAAATAAATAAATAAATCTCAGTTTTATAGAACGGCCAGCGACTTAATGAGTAGGCTTTAGAATACAATTAGGTTTATTCCCCTACCATGAAAAAGTTTAACTGCCTGATTTTGGCAGTCCAGTTGTCTTAAAGGCAGAAGAGCAGAGCAGGCCAGTTTATCTGATCCATTGGCAACCTTAAAGGGCAACATCCTATAAAACCCAGGATTCACGGGGTGTTTGTTAAGCCTTCTGTGACTGTGGGCATTCCATACTGAAGCCCATTTCATCCTTAACAAGTACAGTTAATTAGTTAGTTAATTAATCTCTCCCCCACTTCAAAGCTAAGTCTTACTCTTGTTTTGCTGAGTGAGCTTACATTTTCTTTCTAGCTTCTGTTAAAAAAAAAAAATACACAAATACCCCTTTAAAAAAAGGAGACTCATGAGTATTTCTGGAGAGCTGATTAAAGGGGTCTTATGTCTGTACATTTCCATTTGTGTAGTGTTAAGGGCGGCGCCTGGACCAAGAAAACCTAATGTGTTCTGGAAATGTGATTTAAAGAAAAGAGAAAGGTGTAGAAACATTTTCATTTCCCCCACTCGGACATCTCTCTGCACTTCTGTTCACCCCCCCCCGGTCCCAGGAGTTAAGTTTATTTTAAGTTGTTTTTTTAAAAGTTGTTTTTTTGCAAGGGGGGGACAGCCGGGGAGGGCAGACGAGTGAGATAACGAGGGCAACTTTTGTTTTGACGGCTGGATCTGGGCCTGTCTCCCAAATCTTTCACGATCTGCCTGGGAACAGAATTAAAGAGAGAGCTTTCTCAAAAAGAGGCAACGATTTTAGCAGGCTTGCTCAAAAGCCCAATTCTCTATGTCTGTGGGACATTTTGCACAGCCTCATACACTGTTGTCTGTATTTATGTGATATTTCTGAGGATCCCTGTTCACAAATAAGTCTAAATAAATGCAGCCAGTCCATCCTAAGTGGGATTTGCAAGTGATTTGTGTAAATGTGTAGCACACCACTGGGAAATGCACACCCTTTCCAAATATGGGTGCATCAGAACTTCACAACATGACCCACGCCAGTCTGCTTTGGTGGCTAAGGCTGACTGACTAGCTTCAGTTCAAAAACATCTGGAAGGTTTCCTAGCTTTGAGGTAGGAGGTTTGGGGTTTAATCCCCAGCCTCTCTCTGTGCAGGGCTTGGAAACAATCTGGCTCGGATGCCCAGAGATTTGCTGCCAGTCAGAGTTGACAATATGGGGTCAGAGGGACCTAGACTATGATTTAGTAGAAAGTAGCTTTTTTTCCCAGTCCTAAAGTATCCAGTTTAGGATAATGACTAACACTGAATATAGCAGCAGACCTGATGGTTTCAACCTAATCTGGACATGTTTTTGGATCCCTTCCTTCCCCAGTATAATCCTTGGAGGCGTAACCTAGCCTGGTGGGTTCTGGATAACTCAAAAGCTTGCGCACGACTGTAGCCTTTATTTTTGTCATCTCACTAAAAAATTGAGTGTTGTCCTTCTGTGGCTGTGGCTGTTGCTTTCTTTTTCTATTCCTGCTTTTAATTCAGTGGTGTTCTTATACTCCCACGACTGGGATTCCGGCACTGAATGAGTAAAGTAGGGTGCGTTGACTAGTGGTCATCATCTCCTGGCAAATAAGGCTGCCAGCTTTTCAGCCAGTGACTGCTGCTGTGCTTTAAAATAAACAGGCTTGTTCTGGAGGCCGTATCATTCACTGCACCACAGCGAAAAGCTTCATTGGCAGACCAAATAGTTCTCAAAAAGAGAGAAACAAGTCATTTGGCAATATTTAATATCTTAATCTACGTTGTTTACAGTGTCTAGTTGGGAGTTCGATTCCCCGCTGCGGCTTCTTGAGAAGGGCTGGTTTCGATGATCCTAGAGTTCCTTCTAGCTCTGCGGTTCTTAGATGATGATGATGATGAATCAAGATTCTGCCTCCTCCCCCCACCTTGGTCCTAAAAACCTGGATAGTTTTAACTCTGAAATGGATGGGTTTCAATTGGGAATGGATATATTTAGGATTTTAGGTTGCATACTGTATATCCCTGTTAGTAAAAATATGTATCTTTTCCTTTCCTCATCAAGGCTGTTGGAAGTACAGAGTTATCCAGCGTGAGTCAGATCAGTTTTCAGGGGTTTTTCCAGGGTGACATTTACTCTGACTGTCTAAGCGGGCACTGTCTCTATTTAGCTGATACGTTTTAGCTAATCCAATTATTTTCAGACTGCTGCACGCGACAGTTACATTGTTTATCCAGCGCCAGGAACTTTAATAGAGTCCGGATGCGGTTAACAGTGACAAAAAAAAGTTTTTAAAAAAGTATAAACGCAGAATGGCCTCTTTCTCTGCATGCAAGCAGACTGGTGGGGGAGAGAGAGAAAGAGAGAGAGAGAGAGAGAAAAGGAAGGGAAAAAAGATAGAGGGAGGGAAGGAAGGGTGGCGTAGAGGAAGTAGAAGAAAATGAAAACATAGTTTGAAAGATGGTTTAGTTCACAGGCATCTCCTTTTCTTGCAGATGTAAAAGCAGAGGGCGTGAGGCTGTGGGTAGGGGGTGCAAGATTAGAACACTCGAGACAGGGGTTCAAATCCCCTGCTTGCTTATGGAGCATCACAGGAGTGTGTGTGCCAATGGTAAAACGACTCTTTAAATATTTCACATGCTTTGAAAACCCTATTAGATTAGGCATCCTTCAGTCTCGAGAGACTATGGTATCGTGCTCTGTATGGAGGACTTGGAACAGCGTCTAGTGTGGCTGAGAAGGCCAATTCGAGAGGGACCATCCCTTCCACACTGAAGACCATTACAGCCTGTCCCCTGTCCAGCTCCCTGATTTGGCGGCTTTCGGGACTGCCTCTTGGCCTCGGCCTGCTGGACAAGTGTCTCTTCAAATTGGGAGAGGCCGTGATGCACCGCCTGCCTCCAGGCTGAGCGCTCAGAGGTCAAGGATTCCCATATGTTGGGGTCCATTCCTAAGGCC